AAAGAAAACTTTTAAATCTGAATTTTGAACTGTATAGTTTAAAAGTAGGGGTGTGAGTAATTTCCTCTTGAAAAAAATTAAAGAGGCCAATTCTGAATCTTAAATAGATTTAGACCTTGACGTCATATCTATAATCCATAATTTATTACTAAAAGAGCCAAGAAATGAGAATTTGTTTATAAATGATTTTATTCGGACTATATTCTATAGTATCCTTAATATTAATTAGCGTCCTACCTCTAGATTCATTTTCTAGATTAATTAATTAATCGCATATTATTTACTTAATAGATTGATAAATTTAATGAGTCATGTGGTTTGTAGAAGGTTCTTATCGTCGCCGTAAATTGCAATCTACTCCACCACTTAAAATATGGAAGAGAAATAATCAATAATATGTGCTTTCATGTAAGAATGTCCCTCATTGCTCAAATATATAGATGATGAGTGAATAGTATGCAACATGTCTCGAAGATATATAACAAATTTTGATCTTAATTATGTATACCGACAACATATTTATCGGTACAAGTCTCATCTTTTAGCTCTTATTTTTTTTCTTGTTTTCAATGTTTTCTAATGCAAATGACTTGGATAATGGAGATTCACTGTTACCTATGATGCCTATACAAACGTTGTATCTTTTAATTAATTGTGCGTGTTAAGATAATTCGACAATGACTAAGATGTAGATAATGTCCTTCAATACTTGACAATATTTACAATCTCTAGTTCAAAAGTTTTGAAAATTGTTGCTCACAAGGGTTAGTACATAGAGAGGAAACTTAAAATCAACTTTATTCTAATTATGACAAGAAAATATCCAATTTAATAGTTAAAAAAAAAAATCAATTTTACCATTGCTACAATGGTTGGTACCAATAGACTTTATTCATCGATAATTCCAAGAGCCATCAAAATTCTTTCAAGTTCACTTTTCGTTTTCACAATATCATCAATAAATGGTGACACTCTTACAATGTTTTTTAAGATTTTGAATTTTTCACTAATAAATCCAACTTAGGCTACTTTATTTACATCATATTTGTTATCTTTTGAGAAGGATAAGGTCATAACCAAAAAAAAAATGTCCTTAAAGGGTACTTAAAATGCTGTATGTATTTTCTACTCTTTGGATTCCTTGATCCATCTTTTTATCTAAAGTAATAGCAACAGTTTTGAGATAACAGAGAAGAATTCATAAAAAATTCGGATCCGATTCTGTAAAAGGCAAAAGATTTTTGCGAGATGTGGCCGCGAAACCTTTCCATTAGAAAATAAGTTTTGAATAAGTAACCTTTATTTATCAGAATTGAAAATAAGGTCACATGTTTTGATAATGAGATCATAATTACAATTTAAATCTGGGTGGTGAAATTCAAAAAAGAAAAAGAATTACACTTACAATAAGTAAAATTTACTTAAACATAAAAGTAAGAAAAAAAACATTTTCAAACATGTTTGAAATGAAAGTAATTTTAACTTATTTTTAAGCTTAGTAAACTACATATCACGCTAGCTAAAAAGTAATCACTTATGAATTGATTTCAAACCTTTACAAAGACTACTATAGCTATCATTCTTTTGTATCGAGTGTGGACGAATACTCAAATATGAAAATGATGAATAGAAATATTCAATAAAAAGATAATAGTTTCGTTAGATGAGAACGTATTCATGCCAAGCATGACATCTTGTTATTTATTATTAAAATTGAAAAGTATTCGACGTACATTCGAATACTTATTAAAGAGACACTAGAAGAGAAGACAGAACGAGATTCAACGGAACTTGACGTAACAATGTTAGTCTGAACCAGTATCCATATTGATATTTTAAGTTTCTTTATCTAGACTTCCTTTTCGTTATTTTTAGGAAAATGGAAATCACAACGCTTGATTGCCTTTCACTGTATAAGGAATTATATCCGTGTGCCTACCAACTCCAACTTATATGAAAGATTCTTATGGGATATTTCTCCGATCACAAAAAGTAGTGGAATCTAAGAATTTTCAGTTAAGATCATTACTATCGACTCTTGAGACATTATAGTCTACTATGTCTTTATATCTTCTTCTCTCATATAACGCATATTAAAAAATTTTAATTCATTAATATATAATCTAAACTGTTTATAAACATTTTTAAGACATGCTTTTAGATTTAAATATGACATCAATGGTGAAAAATGAAAAATCGGGGAGATTCATGTACATACTTATCTAAAAATATAGAACAGGCTGTTTATGGAAATAAATTATTAGTCTCTTTCTAAATAAAATTCAATGAATTTATGCCCTCTTGTATATCTTCTATATATTAGAAGTGGCTATAAAACGGAAGTTATTGTTTTGACAGAAATTCTTGTTCCACCGTTAACTTTAATGGATTCCGTTAAGTAGCAATTAAGGCAGCCTTTGTGCCCATTTATCTTCTGTCAGGACGCTTCATGGTCTCATTCTCACCCATTATAAATATGATCAAAATTCACAACACCATTACATAAAGAATCCTAC